ATCACTGAATACAAAGTCAAATGGACCGGATACCCCGACGAAGAATTTACATGGGAACCTCTCTCTAATCTTAAGAACGCCATGAAACTTGTCCGCGCCTATGATCGTGCTAATCCTACGTCCTAGATACCTATATCACTATGGCATAAACCCCCGCAAAAAACCCTTGCAACCCTGCTCTACACACACCCTTGAACCCAGTCCACCCTTCCCTTGATCCACATTCCTGATGTCTGATCGGTCCTTGCCCTCGGCTAGCCTTGTCCCATCTGTCCTCTCCACTACCTTGTCTCTCTTGTCCAATGCTTGTGAACTTGCGTGACGCCGGCGATAAAGGATCTAATGGCAAGCGCACGAGGACGATGGCCTGCTGCCTCACTGTTCATGGAGATTATGCAGCTGGTTTGGCCACCATGCTGTTTCATTGGCCGGCATCCCGACTCGCGGACTTACTGGAGCAGCAACTTGTGACATGGATCTTTGCATCAGTCTGCGACTTCCTTGCTTCCTAGATCAGACCTCGTTGCAGTTCGTGTACCGGACGCACCCTAGCACTTGGACCTTGCCACTTGAACTACTACTACGCTTCTTGGACTTCTACCTATCGCAGCTGCTGAAGACCGCTGCAGACCCCCTTTCAAGACACTTGGACACTTTGTTCCTACATGAGATTCTGCTTCCGACTCCTTCGGACACACCAGCCTTCGCATCCTGAACAAACATTTTCATTTTTATTTTTCCTGACTTTGACAACCCTGNCTTCCGACTCCTTCGGACACACCAGCCTTCGCATCCTGAACAAACATTTTCATTTTTATTTTTCCTGACTTTGACAACCCTGTAGAACATCATTAGCAGATCCCTGTTTCCCTAACCATTGTCCCTTACCCACTAGAATATCAATAGAAATACGTTGTTTTCCTGAACACCGTTTCCCTTACCCACTAGAACATCAATAGAAATACCCTRTTTTCCTGAACACCRTTTCCCTTACCCACTAGAACATCAATAGAAATACCCTGTTTTCCTGAACACCGTTTCCCTTACCCAGTAGAACATCAATAGAAATACCCTGTTTTCCTGAACACCGTTTCCCTTACCCAGTAGAACATCAATAGAAGTTCCCTGTTCCCTGAACTATGTTCCCCCTTAACCTATAGCGAACCATGCAGTCCCCTTAGTTCATCAGTAGGACCACCCTGCTCCCTATCTTCCCTTTAGTTCATTTGTAGGACTACCGTGTTCCTTCCAACGCCCCCTAGTTCATCAGTAGGACGACTCTGTTCACCGGTACCAAACCCTGTTCCCTCTTACTCCCGCAGCCCATGCCAACCACATTATACCCCTTTTCCCTTTCGACTTGTTAACCAGTGATCGGCCCCGTCCCGTCCTTCACAGATTTCAGCATTGCTTCATGATTTTTGGCAGCCGGGACGTTGCCTTCTAGAGGGAGGGGATAGTGTTACGGACTTCGCCAGGGCTCGATCCCTGGTCTATCTTTTGCTGTTTTGGCTGCATCCCGTTCTCGGCCTGGCACCCTTTTTCCAA